GAGAGAGAGAGAGAGAGAGAGAGAGAGAGAATGGGAAGAGGCACTAAATGCTGCACCCTATCCAGGGGTGGGGGGTTCAACCAGTGTTACTACCGGTTCAGTGACTACGTTCTGAGCGCGCATGCAAAAAGTGCTTTTGAGGTTCTCCATATTTTTTTAAAACGTGAAAAGTCCTAGAGAGAAAAAAGTTTAAGAATACTGCTTTAGAGGAAAAAGTAAAGCAGAACAACTTCATTACTGTGACTTTTCATCTTAAAATTACATCATAAGAGACAGGAAACTGGGGTGGGATGGGGGGCGCTATATGAACTTCCAGTCAGATGGGCCAACCTTCACCAAAGCTTTTCTGCCTGTTAAAGTGACTGTTTCAATCCATTCCAGCATTTCTCTTTTAAGCCTAAGATTCTCAAGCCTCACCTCCATTGATACCTCGTTGCTCAGGAGCAGAGCCAGTGTTGCTTTCTGAATGATGTGAACTCCCACGGGGTGGCAAGGAGCCCATGCCTGGCCTCCCTCCTCTAGAACTACTGCAGCGTATGCCTCCTCTGGAGCTTTCTCTAACACGTTGGGGAAGTGGAATATATTTGCCCTCTCTGCAAAAAGAAATAGCCCGGTAATTTCTAAGAACAATGAAAAAAGAAACCACTATAACATTCCTCATCCCAGAAGCTGAGTGCAAAATGCAAGGGAACATTTGAAGCAAAGAGATTGGCAATCAACAGGTGAGCCATTTTCTAAGTCACAGTGGGACATTAAGATTATTTCTACCCCAAATATATAGAGCACACCAGCCACAATTAGCATCATTTTATACTAGAGAGACATATGGCTATCCAAATGTTATTTTGTTTTACAGTTTTGAATTACCCTAACAAATGCTGTCTGAGCTATGCAGAATAACTAATATACTAATTATAAAACAATTGATATCATTGATATTAGACTAGATTTAAATATATACTTTTATTCATTTCACCAATACTGCAAACTTACCTGGAAGCCAAACTGGGACTATCTCTTCCAGACACTTGTCTTTGCACTGAACTGTGCTTCTCTTCTTCTGTCCGCCCATCATCATTTTCCATTGCAATACGCAATCTATATTGGGGGCTTGACTCAATTTCTCTTGCCAGCTGTGCAGCTCTGGCCTCTCGTTGCCGAAAAGCCTCTGTATTGTCTTTTTCAAGAGGGACTCTGTCATGAAGAAAAAATGGGCCATTGGAAGAGAGGAAAAAGGAAATGCAGCAAAGAAATTCTACTGATCTACCCAAAAGAACAAAATAAACTTCCTTTGTTGTAAATATAGCAAAACCTCTTGATTTGTAACATAGTAAAAGACATCTCAGCTCCCAACAGTTCAAACTTTTTGATTGAACTTCCTAGAGTTTGTAAATTTAAAATCCATAACTAATTCTGATAAAGTTCTGCTTATTACTTATTGCATAAATCCATAAATTGCATTTTGAGGAAAATTGGATTGGGTTGGTGACATGCTACTGCAGATATTGGTGACATGTGCCCAAATTGACCAGTACTTACTTACCATTAACAGAGACAACAGATAGTAACACAATTTGCTCCTTCTTTCACTAAAAAGGTGTTATATGAAAGCTTTAAATGATGAAAGCCATAACAGGTACATGAGGTCATTTGTTGACCATGAAATATAAAGGTTTTGATTTGGAATATAACAGGAAAATAAATTAACTAACTGAAAAAAGAAAATTAGGTAAACTGTATTTGTGAAACTAAAAAAGGAGGGAATAATGTAACTGATCTGTGAGGTATTGGTGGATATGGGTATGAAGTAAAGCTGTAGATTTAATGATGAACAAAAGAACTGATATGTCAAACAGTATGAACTGGTGCTATACTGACATAAAACCAAAGTTAATGACTTTTGGAAAGAGTACTTAGAAATTTAAATGAGAATGACAACATAGTCAAAAGTGAAACTGAAATGGTTAGCCAAAGTTGGTTGGAGAATTGAATGTACATGTACTTTGATCGCAGACAGTGCCATTTTGTAGTCTGAGACTCTAGAGGAAAAATTGAATGACCATTGCCTATTACATATAAATGGCAAAATATTACGGCCAGAAGATAACGCTGTTCATTTTAGAAGTATTTTTTTATATTTTGATAAATCAATAAAAATAAAAAGTAAACAGAAGTATATCCCTAAAGAAGGGGACACAGATATGAAAAGATTAAAATTTATACATGATAATAAAAAGATGGGTAATATATAGTCTACCACATCTGCTAAGAGGAATAAATGTTTGTTCAAAGACAGCAATAGCACAGACTTATATATAGGTTTAAAGCCCTCTCTAAGTGGTTTACAGAGTCAGCATATTGCCCCAACAATTTGGGCCCTCATTTTAGCAACTTAGGAAGAATAGATGGCAGAGTCAACCTTCAGCCGATGAGAATTGAACTGCCAAACAGCCAGCAGCAGGAGTAACAAACTGCATCACTGTTTGGTTTGATGGTAGCAGTGCCTCAGATAGAAAGTCCATATAGAGAGTGGTAAGGACAGCTGAGAAGATTAAAGGAAGTTCACTTCAAATTATTCAGAATGCTGCTTATAAAGCGCCATGTGCTTAGAGCTCAAAGCATTGTTAGAGATTCCACACACTGGTCTGTTTCTGTTGTTCCCCTCTGGGAAGAGGCATTTCTAGCAGGACTATCCGATTCTATAACAGATTTGTTCCCTATACCAGCCGTCTGGTAAACTCGCAAGATTCATTTTTCTCATCATTTGCATGTATACATCCAAACTAGACTGTGTTATTTCTCTGTGTCATAAATGTGGGTATATGCATAATTTTATATTTATTTATATTTTTGTCATGTTTATGTAATTAGTGTGTATTGGAGATGGTGATCCTTTGAGAGCTGAATGCAACGAAATTTCATTTTAATGTATGTAGATTAGTGTAAATTTAAACTGACAATAGTTAGTCTAAGTCTGCAGTATTGCATGCTAACCACTGCGTCACCATCAAGGTTCTTTAAATGCAGTAAAGCAAAAAAAAAAAAAAAGATAGGGTCAAGAATGAACAAGCAGACTTGATACAAAAATCAGAAATCAGTATGAAATTAGTACACTGAGGTGGCTTAGCTATATAGAATGAATATCTAATAAAAATACCTTTATAAATCAAGAGTGAATAGATGTAAATGAAGACTGAGAAAGTAATTCCCTGAATTTGTGATCCTCAAAAAGAGGGGAGGAATTTAAAAAACAAAGGAAATATATAAACTGATGTAAAGGCAAAGAAAGCTAGTGGCTTGCATAGAAAGGTTTGAAGAGTGAATGATAACTCTTTATATTTTAGAGTTACATTTTCTTTTATTTCCTGATTTAATGTTTTTGTCCATTACTCGTTTTTAATATTTAAATAACACTTAGTACAAAAGAAATAACAGTTGAATATATATTTGCGCGCACACACATATATATATTTATATTCCCTCCTCCCCCTATGGATCATAACTTTTGTCTTAACTTATTTATGTTTTTAGTATATGTATATTTATCTTTTATGATTATAAGCCGCTCAGAGTTATCCTGTGGTATGATGGGCAGCCAATAATTTTAAAAAAGAAATAAACAAGGAAGGAAGGAAAAGCAGGCTTCTGCTATGTCAGCATACTATTAAATTCTTAGGTGCATAACAAAAACTAGTAATGTCATGAAACGAAGTGTTATATTAACTACACAAAGTACAACTGAATTTGTTAGTGGTCCAAAGTGGCCATCTTTCAAGAGCCCTAATATTTAGTGCATTTGTATCCCCTGTGTTTTGTGCACTATTTTGTGCAATTCAAGAAGGCATAAATAATGTGTGCCTTAAATTTTCCCCATAACAGCAGCCCTGTGAGGTGAATTGGGCAAGAGTGTATTTCTGCCGCAAAGTCATCCAACTGGCTTCCATTCCAAGAAGACTAGAATGGTCTCTCAGTTTCTAGTCCAGCACCTAAACTAAATTGAATCCTGGAATCCACCCTCAAGTGTAGATAATGCAAAGGTAATGTTATTATAATATTCCAATGGACATGTCATTGAACATTCATCATGGAACATTCACTGTTTCTATCAAATATTTCATTTTTTAAAAGTAGCTGTCAACAGCTTGTAATAAACAAGTGGAACTGAGGATTGAGAAAGGATAAAACTATTCACAAATACTGATATTCAAAGGATTGAGATGATTACCTTTTAATTGTCTAGACAATCTACTTTTCTTTATCCACTGATTTCTGCCAAATAATTAAAGACTTACAAGTCCTGGTATATTAACTCTCATTTATTAAGTGAAAAAGAAAGAAAAACAATCTACTCTAATAGCCTGCCAAATTGTCATCAGGTGATCTCTCCCCTTCACACACATATATACACTTATATATATAGCTAAATCATTAACTTACGTATATGAGGAGAGACTGCTATCATATGTTGTCTTCACACCATAATTTTCCTCATTGAATTTGAACATCTCATTGGGGTCCCAGCCATTAGACTGAAATCACAGATGAATGCTTTAGAACCTTTGCTGCAACAAAGCTTAGCAAAACAGCTCTAAGTAAATCTATTTTGAGGACTCAAGCCTTATCAGTTACTTACCATATCTGATTCTAAGTCATAATCATCACTGTTGCTATCTCCCCCTTCCCAGCGTTGAAGTACTTTCTCTTTGTGCTCCCCATTCACTTTAGAATTCATGGCAATGGCAGAATCTGTGAACTTATCTACACAGGACAGAAAGAAAGGCCAGGATAAAAAGGATTCAAGTTCTCCCTTATGTCTCCTCCCATCACAATTCTGTTATTTTAAGGCTGTATTACCTTTGGTGGCGTAGTTAAAATCAACATTGCGGAAGTGCACTAACATGACATCAGAAGGCTTGAAAACCATAGTGTCTACAATATCCTCCCTCCTCGGCCCTACTGGCTGGTCGGGCACCTTCTTGTGCACAGCATCCACAGCCAGCTCAAACTGTTAAAAAAAATCTTAATTAATACAGGCTGCCTATTCCTGCTATAGAAAACCACATAAATTGGAGGGAAAATGCCATATCACAATCCATTGGTCATTAAGCACTATCTGTTTCTAGATATTAAACTTTGTAAATTCAAGCTGCTTAAGTAAGCTTTGTGAAGTCTGTGGAAAAAGGATGCTTACTGTATCCAAAGTTCCAATATAAAATCAAACTAAATACAATTAAGCAGTACACTTCACTGAACCTGTTAGTTAATATTCTAAGAAAACTAGTCAGCAAAAAAAAAGTATTCACCTTAGAACTCAGGGTCTTAAAAATTCCTTCAAATGTACTTCCACTTTTCACTTTCACATCACATGTGGATCCCTGGCAAGAAAACCAAAGGGTAGGAATACTTTAAAAAAGGATATATGGATACTTCAAATTGCAAATCAAAGACTCCCCCCCGCCCACCCAAATGTACACCTATAATCTATTTATTTGGAAGGCTGTTAAAATAAAGCAAACTAAACTGAAGAAATTCAAGAGAAAACCCTGACTCATTTGCACAATGCTTAACACAAACAATTCTTAAGGCACATATTACCGTGATAGCTGGAAGGGGAAACAGCAAACTGTTAGTCTTTGCAGGCATCCCACCTTCCTTTGGTTGAGAACCTTGCAATTTTTGCATTGTCTACCATTTTAAAATCAAGCCAAAATAGCTGGAACTAAACTTGTTAATATGAGGATCTGAGTTCAAAGAATAATGTAAATAAAATTACAACATGGATTAGTACATCATATGAGCAATTCCTATATAAAACAAATGCTCAACTCTTCCTGCAGGACAACCACATGAAATCAAAGTATGGAAAGAAATTCTATCATGTACCTTCTACCCTATAAACTTGCACCAGTACATCTATCTTCCCTACATTCTCAATTTATTACCAGGAGACTTACCACAACTGCTGTTAGAAAGTGCAGCATTCGGGAATTGTTATAAACACCCTCAAAAGCCTGGGAGGAATGAAAAATAGGATATCTGTAAGCATCCCAATGTTATAACACTCCCAATAATTAGATAGGCAACTGAAAGATTCCAGAAAATGTATACACCTATTGTAACGAATATAGGCCTAAATAACTATTATCTCATTTGTTTTCTCAATAAGGAGCTTGCCTCATGAATCTTATTATATAGGAGGCTTGGCACAGGTTCAAACTGTATTATTTTTCCTCATAAGTTTGGATAGAGGGTTCTATATTGAAAATAAAAAGTATATTGGGATTTTCACAATTCAGTATCTAAAACTGAAGCATTCAAATATTTGTCACAAATAAATCAAAATAAAGTGGTTTATGATACAGGTTGCGATAACAATACACTTTTCTTTTTCAAAACAAAAACTGCCTCTCAGTGATTTAACTCCATTAATCTTAACAAAGTTGCAAATTTAGAAAAAAAAGAGGTAAGTATAAGCAGACTTTGCTGCACCTTCACATGCTGAAAATCTACAGATAATTTAGTGTTACAAATTTGAACTACCTGTACATTTATTATATAAATAATTTATTTATTATTTTAATCCCGATATTATACTTTGCTACTGTTATAGAAATTGCAAATAAATGAAATGTAAAGGTACAGAAATAGTTTTAACTGTAGTCATAGCAGATAAGGTTCTAGGGAGAGTTAAAAACACCTAAAAAACTGAGCCCTACTTACAGATATATTTATTGGCGAAGATGGTAGCAGAAACCTCAAATCTCTAGCATTTACACAAATCATACATATTATATATGACAATCCCAAATGGTTTATAATACAACTTACAGGAGATTGTGGAGGTCCTTTGCCTGTACTCTGGCCCCTGAAAATAAATCAGTCACACATGTAATTAATAATTCAAAATGTAAACTCTTCAATAGCCAAATTTGGTGTATAAATTCATCATTCCTTATGAATATAAATGAAAGGAGCTCTCTCCACTAACAAGAACCCCATAGTTTATTACCAAAATAATTATATAGACTTCCTAATTCAGCCAAAATATAACTTTGTAAGTGCATGTACTATACATGAAAATTCATCCTCTACATATATATAAAAGTGGATGTTGCTTCAATGACACAAAGTGTTACTGGCACATGCACCCAAGAATTTCCTGTGTATGAAAAGAACCTTAGAATGGTTTGCTTTGCCTCCAATTCATGATTTCTGAGCTTTCTACATTACTTTATCTAAATTCGGAATAACATTTTGCACAATTCATTAAAATTCCCCAAGCAATTCAATTGATATATGGCTCAGCAAATGTTATTTACTCCTGCTCTTTCCTAAACTAGAGATATATGCTAGGGTAATGAAATGAAAAAACAAAACAAAACCCACCACCTTTAACCAGCATGCTGGGCAAAAGTCATTTTCGGAAGGCATTAGCGTTCATATACTGTATATAGGTACTCCTTAACTTGTAACAGTTTGCTTAGTGACCAAAGTTACAATTGCACTTAAAAAAGTGACATGACCATTTTTCATGAAGGATCCCCAGTCACATGATTTACATTCAGATGCTTGAAAAGTAGCTCATATTTATGATGGTTGCCTTGTCCCAGGGTGATGTGATCACCTTTTGCAACCTTCTGACAAGCAGTCAATGAGGTAACTAGATTCACTTAACAACCAAGTTATTAATTTAACAACTGCAATGATTCACTTAACAAATGTGGCAAGAAGTCATAAAATGGAGCAAGACTCACTTAACAAATTTCTCACTTAGCAACATTAGGCTCAATTGCGGTCGTAAGTTGAGGACTGCCTTTATAAGGAAGTTCTTTTAATTAAGCAGACCAAACCAGCCCACGACACTGCAATGTTTGAATAGATCTTTCGGATGTCTTGTTTTCTGATATTGTACATTGTCCCGCAAATGAAGTCAACCGCATTTATTTCCGATAGAGAACATGTCATGGTGCTCTGTTGGCACCTGAAATTAATCCTTGCCAAAGCAGTCAAAGTCTACTCCACGATAAGGCATTGCAACTCAGCCCAGGAGGGATCGATCTTTCTTTTTCGAAATACGGAACCGCTCCATGCAGCTTCCAAAAATCACGCAACGCCAGAGATGGACGACTGGAGAAGACTTTTTGTGGGGGTGGGGGAGTATCTAGCGGTATTCGCTTTCCGGTCTCGGCAGGGCTTACGCTGAGAAGATTGGCGCCCAATCAGTTTGGCGAAGCAGCCCAACTCCACTTATCGGGTCTTCACATACTTCCCCTCCCACCTACCCCCTCCGCCAAGTCCTCACGTCAACTCTTTTGGGGCGGGAAAGCGGCAGTACCTTCCCTTTCGGTCCTGGCCGCCAGGATCGCTTCCTTCACCTCGCTCACACAAACCCGCACCTTTTCGGTCCAAAGCCTTACCTGGTGCCGCTTCCTCCAGGGGGGGCCCCTCCGCCGCTACCTGGGGGAGCCACCATTGTGGCTCTCGGTCCGCCCGCCGCCCCGGGGCTGAGGTTCCCGTTGGGGCTGGGCGGGGGTGGGTTGGCTTTGCGGGAAGCGGCGGCGGCGGCAGCAGCCACGGCAGCGGCCGGAGGCGGCGTCGGAGGAGGGGGGCCCGAGGGAGGCGCAGCAGGTTGAGGGGAGGGCGGCGGCAGCGGTTGTTTCAACATGGCGCTGGCGGCGGCGAGAAAAAGGGCCCGGCGCCCCTACTCTCTCCTCAGCACGCGTTCAAGGCCGTCGAGAGAAAAGGGGGGCGGAAAAAAAAAGAAGCGGAGGGGAGAGGGGAGGGCGACCGAGACCCTTGCCCCGCGCGTTTCTCCCGGGCTTTGACTTTATACGCTGCCTCTAAAGCGGCGAGTTAGAAACAAAACAGGAAGGTGAAGGGAGGGAGGGAAGGAAGGAAGGAAAAAGGCAGCCACGGCACGTCAAGAAGCCCAGCCGTTTCAGACTTTAAGCCCAGCGATACAGGCAACACCGTGCGCTCCTGCCGGCCCGGAAGGGGAAACTGACTGGCTGGCTGTCGGGCGGGCGGGCCGGCCGGCCGTCACGGAAATGGGAAAGGGTTGAACGCTACGAAACAGTGGACGTGGAGGGTGGCGAGGAAAGAGAGCGAGACAGCGAGCAGGCGGACGCGTTTCTCTCCCCCCACCCCCCACCCAATACACCCGCGTTCTGTTGGCTTCGCCTGCGCGCGCGTCAGCAAAACAGACGCCTCGAAGGTGGGCCTCGATCCCACCTGCTGCCGCCGCCGCCGCCGCCGCCGCGGGATCAGTCCTCCGGGAGGACGCGCGCCTTTTGCCCGCTTTTGCTCCCTCTCCGTTAGAGCCGGCAGCGCCTCGGGAAAGAGAAGAGGGGGAAGTCTCGAGCCCCGCAGGCAACGTGAAGGGAATGGCAAGCTCGCGTTGGGAAGAAGAGGCGGGCGGGAAGAAGATGGAAGAGAGCGAGGCCGCAACAGAGAGAGAGGGGGGGGAGAAAAGAGGGAGGGGGCGGCTGTGATGTTGGCGCTCAGGGTCGCGACGCGAGCGGTCTCAAACCCCTTCCTGCCGAGGGAAGTGGACGGCTCTGTCCCCTGTCAGGTTCGTGCTTGCTTGTGAAGTAAGAACGGGGGGGAAGGGCGACACAGATCCCGCTGGCCCGCGCGCACGAGAAGTCAATCCGGTTGCTGCACAATGAGTCCCTGGGGAGGGCGGGGCCTCGCTCTGCGCCTGCGCTCTTCGCGCGCCCTCCTGCAGCGCACGTTCGGTAGGGGTTCTTGCCGGCCGCCGCGCGCGCACGCTCTTCACGTTAACCAATCGAGAAACGAAAGCGAGCCCCTTCAGTTCCTTCAGAGCTTTGGGGAAGAGGGGGGCGTTCCTCCGGTAATGGCTAAGACCAGTGCACATGCATAAGAGGAAACAAAGGCTTGCGCCTGTCGTTTCCCTCGGATCGGTCTGAGCATGTGCGAAACGAAAGGAAGGAAACGTGTCGCCCATGTGGGGAGCGCGTACAAATGGTAGGTTGATTGAAAATGCGCATGCGTGGGGGACAAGCACTGCCAACTGAGACCAAAATGCCAGGATGTTGGTTACCCTGTTGACCCCGGATGACCTCATTCTCAGTATGATAGCTTTAGCTTCTGTGACCTCAAGGGCAGTGTGTCTTAAGATGTCTAAGATTCGATAGAAATATTAAAAACCATAAAGAAAATATGTACCTCTATCAGATACACATCAGTAAGGGTTGATGTGACTTGAATGCACATATTACAAATATGCATAATTGTGATATACTGTTAGCCATGTTAGTATTTAAGAAAATTTCACAAGAAGAGTTCTCCACTCTTCTACTCGTTGTAGAATACCTTATGCCACCAGACTTGAAATTCTAGAACTAGAAAACCTTGAATTACGCCGTCTTCGGTCTGATTTAAGCATGGTATATAAAATCATACATTGCAATGTCCTACCTGTCAATGAATACTTCAGCTTCAACCATAACAACACAAGAGCACACAATAGATACAAACTCAAAGTTAACCGCACCAAACTTGATTGCAGGAAATACGACTTCAGCAATAGAGTGGTCAATGTCTGGAATACTCTACCCGACTCTGTAGTTTCTTCCTCAAACCCCAAAAACTTTAACCTTAGACTGTCTACTATTGACCTCACCCCTTTCCTAAGAGGCCTGTAGGGGGCGTGCATAAACGCACCAACGTGCCTACCGTCCCTGTCCTATTGTTTCTCTTATTCTTCTTTTATTTTTCTTATATGTACCCATTTCATGTATTCACAACTATGTATACACTTATACTTATTATCTTGTAAACAATTGGCAAATCAAATAAATAAAATAAAAAATAAAAAAAAATTTTTTTTATTATTTTAAACTCAGTCAACAAATGCTGCAATTCCATAGATATGTACAAGAGAACCCCACTGATTAAATAAATGTGGACATGAAAACACATTATTAGATGCATTTTTATTTAAATTGTCTCTGAAATATGTTCCATTATCCTTCCTTTCTTAAGGTACCATTATACAAAAATAATGAAACTGCCGATTCTGACATTCTGAAAGAGGAATTACAACATACAAAATACAGTCAATCACAAAAGATCTGTTACTGTCAAGTCTGTTACTGTCAAGTCTACTATCAAGTCTATTATCTAGTAATTGTGATAGGAAAGACAAAGAGCCACTAGCAGACTGGATTGGCGATAGGAATAGGCAAACCTGGAGTTTAGCTTAGCCTCAGTGACTCTCAGCCCAGACTATTTCATAGCACTGTTGTGGTGAAATGTGGGAGAGGATATTACCATAATCTTCTGAAGGGAAATTGAATTAGTTTCCTGCATTCCCTCATGCTCTTCACAGTTGCTGTATCATGAACATAAAGTGCATAACATATACCAAGCTGCTTACCTAGGCAATACCCTACTTATATTTTCCTGGGAAAGAGTCATTGCAAAGCAGCCAACAGGAGATACAAGAATGACAGCAAAAATAAATACTTCTGGTGTCCCTAGAGGCATGAGAGAAATGAGCATTGCACTTTACTGAGAATATGAGATTGGGAAATGGGGTGAGGAATTCACTCTGTACCTGCGGAAGAGTAACCTGTGAAAAACAAAGGTGAAATAGAATAAGGAACAACAGGAGTACATAGCACCTATATAGCTGGATTTGCAAAGTCAAAATTAAATCAGGGTTTCTAGGTCTTGGTAAATTTAAGAGATGTAGACTTCAACTCCTAGAATTGGAGTTCCTCATGTTGGTTGGGGAATTCTGGGAGTAGAAATCGAAACAAAAGTTGAGAAATACTGGATTAAATGATACCACCCTTTATAAAACAATGCATCTCAACTAGTTTATGTTCTGCTAAGCAAAAGTGCTCATGAGCACTTGGCCAGCAAGATAATCTACAGGGAATTTATCTGCTTGTGGATTGGAGACTTTTTGTAGGAATTGGATCAAATAATTAGTATTTATACAATAGGAGACCTGGGGGAGAATCATAATTATTATCTATTAATGGAAGATATTTTTCTTCCTTGTCCTCTGTACTGGCTCTTCTGTTAGAGTGGAGTTGGGGATTTGATGCTTGGTCAAAAAAACCCAGTTTTCCAGGTATTGTTTGCTTTTTGCATTAGCTTCCATGTGTCCTGGGATAGATCATTTGATACATTTTGTATGACTTAAGTGCCTCTCTCCTTCCTTCCCAAGTTCCTCTTCCTGTGTTTCAAGTATTTGTGAAACCAGAGAGATAAAAATACTGGACTACACATTGACCAGATTCATACTGCGTTAGAAGTGATAATGTGACTCCTTTGTTTGGCCTAAAATCAGTATTTCATATTTAGAAAGCCAGTTTTAACATAGTGGTTAAAGTATAGAAAGCCAGCTGGATGAACTTGGATCAGTAACTCTCCCAGCTCATCTTAGATAATTTTTCTTGTGGGGAAAATAGGAGAAGTAAATCTCTATATATAAAAGCCAAGTACCACTCACTCATGAAATCTCCAGAACTGTAAAGCCTACAAACTTGAAATTTGGCACGTATGTTCCTCTTGGCTTCTAGGTGCTTGCTAAGAAAGGATTTTTTGAAGTGACCATCAGATCATTACTATTTCTTAATACAGTAATTAACACTATCTGATCCTAAGGAGTTATACTCCCCCTCCCCACCTGAAAAGAACTCTATTCCAACTGCCAGTTGCCTCACAAGTTTGTGGAACAGCAGTAGGTAGCATTCTTCACCATCACGCTCCATTATCCTGTAGCTGAAAAACTCAGCAGTAGACACGGTCTTCTTGAGAGAACTCTTGTTTTTCGTCGAACGGAGATATATTGATGCCATCTTCTCTACGGCAGAACATCAGAGGGTACTGGAGAGCTCAGGAGTGGTCTGGGGCTCCTTACAGTATTAAATGTCAATACCTCATCAAAATGTCTATCCCTTACACCTATGGAACTGCTTCCGGCTCAAAGTGGCAGGAATGATATTCCCTTATGTGTTTCAATCATCGACCACCATTGAGCCAACAAATTATGAACCGGATATCTCCTGCATAGCTCAATGACATAGTGTCGTTGCGAAGCAGAGATATCCAGTTAGTGTTATATATGCATCCTGGAGTTGCACAAAATAAATGCAGGCATAAACATATTAAATAAATACTGATAGTCCTTGACTTACAATACTTCACTTAGTGACTGTTCAAAGTTACAACAGCACTGAAAAAAGTGACATGATTGTTTTTCACATTTACGACCATTGCAGTATCCACACAGCCAGCCATATGATCAAAAATCGGATGCTTAGCAACTGACTCATATTTATGACTGTTGCAGTGTCCCAGGGTCATATGTTCACTTTTTGTGACTTCTGACAAGCAAAGTCAGTGGGGGAGGCACTTAACAATCATGCTACTAACTTAACAACTATGGCACAAATGGTCCTAAAATGGGCCAAAATTCACTTAACAAATGTTTTCACTTCGCAAGAACAATTTTGGGCTCAATTGTGGCCATAGATTGAGGATTACCTGTACATAAATACTGTATAAATATATTGTATGAACATAACCAAACTGTGACTTGATGATACAAACCATGACCATGTATATGATTTCAACTAATTTGAATCTCAGCAGATGTTATTTTAGAATTTTTTACAGCTTATTAGTTTTGAAAAGCTGCAATTGGTTAATGATCAGCATGCTCAGTTATAGAGTAGGACTGTTCTTGACATGGAGGAGTTCTTTCATTTTAACATTTTTTCTTTTCCTGTGAGAGAGACATGGATTAAATAGATACAGGATATATAAATATTCTCCTCTGCTTCTGTCCAAAATTTGCCTCCAATTTTGTTATTCTAGTAGGACGTATCTGTGACAAGTTTGCCATAGCAAACTGAATCAGGCAGGTATTATCCTGAAGGTAATGTATTTTGGGCCCCGGGTATAAAGACATTGAATTCTATTACTGTGTTTTCAAGACAATGCCTCTCAAAGATTATGTGTGGCATCACATCTGCCAAATTTGTTTTGTTCTTCCACAATTCTCTTTTAAACCATGATCAGCTTTTTAAAACCTCTATCCTCTCTCCCAAAACTTTCATGGATTGTCATTCTGGGACACTAGTGCTGCCTCATTTCAACATATTCATTTGGGTAAAAGCCTATTAAATTAGGATTTATTCTCAAGGGTAAACATTTTTTGCTGTTTTATATTAACTTTTATTAATGGTTGCCAATAGTCCTCAAGTAACCAGCTGGGAAAGAAATATATTTTTCTACTCTGTACAGATAAGTAATTAGCCTGAATAAACATTTGGAACATTTTAGGGTCTAAGAAAGCAGCAGTGGTTGCTTTATTGATATTTCCATCAATTCATTCATAAAGTTTTTTTTATCTATAAAGTCTAAAATCTGCTAGTGGTATCCCATTACCAAGTCATTAAAAGGGTAGCAGCCATAGAATATATTTTTCTATTATGTTATTTATATTATGAAATGATCTTACTTGAATAAGATTAGTGCTCACTCTTAACAGCCTTTTGGCAACTAGTACAGAGTTTTTCCATGAAGAAATTCAATTTTGAGGAGGGGATGCTGTTAGGAATAACATAGGTTACCTAACGTAGTTTGGGTAACATAATATATATAAACTATGATAGTGAATTTAAGTGTGTGTCACTTTAACTGCAAAGCATGTAATTTTGGGTGCGGCTGTAAATCGCCATAAGGGAGCAAGAGAACTTGATTGATTGCTGGCTTACTGTATTGCTTGCTGACGATGATGGATTGATGGTGTGATAACTGCGTGTTCTCTGCTGTTGCTGAAAGAAGAAAAGAGGTTTGACTTCTTCATATCTCTACTGCAAAGAGATATATTACTGGACTGATATTGTAAGTTTACTGACCTCTTTTTCGACACTGGACTTTGCAACTGATTAATCCCCGGACGGACTGAACTAGTGTATGATATATGGACTGTTTGACTATGCTATAAATCTTACTGGAATAAACTATTTAACTAGCACATTGTATCTGTTTTACTGAGTGTAAGCTACAAAAACGTTTGTCTCAAATATTTGCCTGACTGCCTGACTGCCGTGCAGATTCTGCTAGGGTGTATATCCCTAACACTGGTTATGGGCCCAGCTGCACAGTCAGACTAACCAGGATATAACAGGCTTATATAAAGTGAGAGTTTGTGTAGTTACACAATACTGTAAACAGACAGCTGTGTTTTATTAATTATAGTTTAATATCCAGAAAAGATGGCACAAGTCAATTTACAAAGTTTGTCTCTAATATCCAAACTGGATGGAACAAACTATGTTTCATGGTCTATGAAATGCAGCCTACTTCTACGTAGAGAAGGTTTGTGGAGTATAATTCAAAACCCACCAGAGGTAGATGTTTGGGATCCGGAAGATGAGGATGATGCCCAGAAAATACAAGAATATAAACTGAAGAATGAGCAAGCTCTCTGTATAATAGGACTGACACTCTGTGACCAGCAGCTTGTCCATATTCGTGGAGAAGAAACAGCTGCGAAATGTTGGGAGAATTTAAAGAAGATTTATGTTCGAGACAGTGTAGGAGCACATATAAATCTTACACGGAAACTGTTCAGAACACACCTTCAAAAGAATGGAGACATGTTGACTCATATAAACACAATGAAGAGAATTTTTCAGGAACTGCATGAAAAAGAACATATTTTCAAAAAACTGCATCAGTTTTATATAATTTTGTCTTCGTTAGATGAGAGCTATGACGACTATGTAACTTCACTGGAAGTACTGCCAAAAGATAACCTCACATTAACTGACATTACTGGCAGATTAATTGAAGAAGCCAGGAGAAGGCTTGAAAGGGATCAACTCAGAAGACAACCACAAGAAGATAAAGAATCTACAACAGCCTATACAATTAGAAAATGTTTTAATTGTGGAGGAAAAGGACATTTGGCTAGATTCTGCAAGAAAGGAAAACGCCACAATGCCAGCCAGAATGCTAAAAGGCATCAAAAGGATGAAAAATGCTTAGAGTTAGCCATGTATAGCAATGAAACTGTGAATAATAATTTATGGCTTGTAGATAGTGGAGCATCGCACTGCATAACGAAAGATAAGAAAAGATTTGTTAAGATGTCCACGAGTTCACAGCAGATATCGTTAGCTAATGGCTGGAAAATGAAAGCAAAAGGTGAAGGTATTGCACATTGTTCTTGCATAAAAGAAAATGTAAAAATGTTATATGTACCACAACTTAAGTTTAATTTGCTTTCGGTTAGAGTTTTGGTTAAACTAGGTTATGTAGTTACCTTTAGGGGAGAAAACTGCATAATGGAAAAAGAAAGTAAAAAAGTGACTGCAACTTTAAAAGGTGAATTGTATGTGTTAAATGATAATTCATTAGAGGTAGCTAACACAGTTTATAATAATGTTAAACCTCATGATGAATGCATACATTTGTTACACAGACGTTTAGGGCATATAAATTTTAAAATGCTCAAGCAAACGGTTGA